AAGAGCTCTCCTGCACTGCCTGGTCTGACTCCTCGTAAGTCTTATTTTCCAACAGCTGAGTCACGGAGGCAGATCCAGATCCAAATGTCCTCGTTCCAAGTCCAGTCCAAGTCCAGATCGCTTTGATGTGTGTTATTAGGAAACACAAAGGCCTGGAAACTCAGATGGAAGCAATTTCTATCCACAGCTCGTTGCTATGGAAAGAGGAAAACAGGATGTTCCCGTGGCTACCCGGAGTGTGGAAAATATTGGTGCTCGAGGCCCATTCCCCCACTTCGGAGAGGTGTGGTTGACAGCCAGCGAAGGAAATGGTTCTTCTGCTTCCCAGGAAAGAGAGTTTTGCTGTGAGGGCCTGCAGCCCCACCTGTGGGCACCCGTTAGTGGAGGAACGGGCACCCCAGAAGTCAGACTAGTAGGCTCCCCCAGACCTGCCTGTAACTCCAGAACGCCCCAACAGGTGGAGCTGTGAAACTCGACAACAATTCCTTCTTGTTGCAAAAGATGTGGTCATTTGATTCGCTTGGTCTTTTGTCTCAGGGTGGCAAGTTGAGCACTGAGCTGTGTGAGTTCAGTCACTCTGTACGATATGTCCTCACAGATTTTCAAAACCAAGTAATTGTTTTTCAGTGCTTTTCAAGCTACATATCATTTATGGCAGTCTAAGGAAGATCAATTTCTATTTTACTTTTTATCTTGTTGTTCTTTTAACACCATAGGTACTTTCATATTAGTATGTGAATGATTAACTTCATGAATAAGACTCATTTTAGTAATTATTTCTCTGATTATGATATAAATTGATGCTTTGTTATCAGGTTATAGGGTCTCAATTTGCTGTAGGACAACTAAAGAAAATCTGAAGTAATATGTTTTCTACAAGCCCAATACAGTATAAGCGCAGGAGTAAAATAGTACTCTATATTGCATTATTAAACATTACTTTCAAATTCCCTTGTGAGAAAGACAGAGATGTTCATGTTGACTCATGACTTCCTTCTTCCAGTCAGGGGAAGCATTTATGTGAAAACTGTAACAAATTTAGAATATTGTGTGTATCCTTAGTCATCACAACACTATAGAAAAAAATATTGCTGCTCTGGAATCTGTCAAGAGAAGAGAAATTAGATCAATTCTGGGGCTGAAGAGAGAATCCTACACTAACAGTCTGAAGGAACTGAGTCTCTTTAGTCTGAAGGGAGTGTCCCACACTGACAGACTGGAGGACCTGAGTCTCTTTAGTCTGAAGGGAGTGTCCCACACTGACAG